CTTAATGGTTGTCTAGTCTAACTCATATGTAAAAAATCCCCTCCACAACATAACCAACAAGTAGTCATCAAGCCTTTACTTAAAAATCTCTAATAAGGGATAACCCATTACCTGCTGAAGTAGCCCATTCCACATCAAGAGAGCTAGTTTTGTTACCTCAAGCCTAGAATCTCAGTTCCTTCTTCTGATCCTCATGGCATGAACTTGAGGTCCTTCACCATCCTGGTTGCCCTTCTGAGTGCTGTTCAGCTCATCAGCATCTTTCATAAAATATGATTTCTTAAAACTGAAACACAGTATTCCACTGATGGTCTGAGCAATGAAGAATACAATAGAACTATCATTTCCATATTTCTGAAAGTTGTGCCTCTAAGTGCAACCCATTAGATTTTTTCATTGCCATATCACTATTAATCCATGTTAAATTTGCACTTTATAAGAAAAGCCATAATTTTTTCCTCTTTTGGTAGTTACCTAATGACTGAGCCAATATTTACATAATCTATGGAACTTTATAAACCCTATTGAAAAATATTCAGCAATAACTGAAATTTTTATTTATCTGGTAGTTATTTTGAACTTCTAAAATAGTTAACTTGCTTTTAGGACTGAATTAAATTTTAACTTGGAGTTATAAATATCTAGATCCTCATATTTCAGTGAACAGGTAGATACCAGTAAAGTTAGTCTTCCAATTAAAATATATAAATTTCATATTTCTCTTTTTAGTTGTAGTGTTTTGAATTATTTGGGTCTTAGCATTGCCTTCATATAATTATTTTATAGTAGCTTCCTCATGGAGAGGTTTAGGATGGTTTGACTTATTTTTTATTCGTTTTCATTAACTATGAAGAAAAGAGCTATTGATCTTAAGTATGGGGAATATTATTTTTATTGGCTTTTAACTATTCTAGAGAGACTCATCATCCTCTGATTTTTATATGAATTTTTATTTTTGTGGTCTTAGTCTTATGCGAACACAAGATGTCAGTATTTTGTGTGTCCTTTACCTTATTATTATAGAAGCCAGAAAATCTGCTTCCAGTTTAATTTTTACTTTGAAATTTACCCCAGTTAACTGAAATTATAAAGTAGTCACTTAAAAATTCACAAATTGTTTTACAAAGAGATCCTAGTCACTTGTTGAAGCACATAATATCAAAATAGATGTATCACCAAACGTATTCTCATTTATTTCATGGATCAAATAAATAGTTTGTCCATTTTTTCCTTTACGATCTTGATACAATGTACACTGCTTTAAATATCAGATATAATCCTGAGGAGTTTATAATCCTGAGGAGTTATAAATCAAATTTCTTTTAAATGAACCATATTTTAAATGTACTGGAGGAACTTGAAGAGTTAAATCTTTAGTGAAACTGAGACACTTTCATAATGAGTCTCATTCCCTCATTTATCTGTCTTATTATTTTTTAATTTTGTACATTTGACCATTTTAATGGGACACACTGATGGGATTTAGAGTTAGAAGGAACCTATTGATAGAACCCAATGCCTTCATTTTACAGGTGAAGAAATTAAGGTTCAGAGTGGTAAAGTGATTTTTTTTTTAATGGATGTGCATTTTGTTTTGATAAAACACACAAACACCTCCCTCCCCCCAAAGTACATTTCCTCAACACTAGTTGAACAGAACCATCTAAAGAGTAATTACACCTGGTAATACATGTGATTTTCCTCTTGAATAGTTTGCTGCTTTTTAGCAGAAGAGAGGATATACCCTAAGTTTAATAACTTGGTACCAACATGGCTATCATATATGACTTGAAGTGTGTTGCCATTTGATGTTTTTTTTTTTTTTTCATTTTTATTGATACTTATGTGTATTTTTTGGCTTTGCTTTTTTTCCCTTTGTATGACATCATTATATCTGCCTTTGTTTCTCCAAGTTCTTTGTATTAATTGTTTTTTATGATATGCAACAATATTCCATTACATTCATTTACCGTAATCTAACTGTTCTTCAGTCATTGAGTACATATAACATATTTCCAGTTTTTTGTTTTGTTTTTTTGCTATTACAAATAGTGCTGTTATGAATATTTTAGCACATATGAGTTTTTCCTCCCTGGTTATAAAACTAGTCTTGGATTAGCTGGGTCAAAGGGCAATGAAGAATTAGTCACTTGTATTCTGTAATTCCAAATTCCACCACCATCTCTCCTCCCAGGCACCCTGATTTAAAAGCGTAGAATTTTATTATACTCTTCCTTTGTCTTTATTCTATCAGTTCAATTCAGCAGACATTTTAAAAGTGTCTACTACTATATGTTGTCAAGTCTTATCATTTCCAACTTTAACAAATATTTGTTTAATTGGACTTTTTCATAATGTCACCGAAAAATGAATATGCATTTTCAAATGTGGAAAGGAGAATAAAATAATAATTCACATTTATGTTTTAAGTTTCACAACACAATGAGGTAGGTATTTCAAGTACTATAGCCTTTTTACAGGTGACGCTACTGAAATCAGAGAAGGTGATCGATTTGCCTAAGATTGCATAGCTAGGAATGATTGGAGCTGAGATGCGAACTTGGGTCTTCCTACTCCAACATCATTGCTTTTTCCATTGCTTAAGTGAAGGCGGGCCCTTCCAATTAATAAAAACACTTTACCTCACCTTGAAAGAATCTTATAGCTTTGAAGTCAAAGATTATTTATTTCATGAAAGGTAGTTTATTTGGGATAAGAGTATCTTCGTTAATGATTGGTTGATATCAAAACGTTCCCTTGTTCATAGGGCAATATACTAGGTTCTTTGGAGAGATTTTTATTTCCTGTTAATTTTTATTTGTTTTTACATCACCACATTCATTTCCAACTATTATCACTTTTCTCACCCACCCAGGGAATCTTCTTTTTATACCAAATATTAAAAAAAGAAGTTCATAACCAATCAAAACATTAGTGAATTTGATGACATATTTCACCCATCCAGTGAAAGAACAGGGTGCATTTTCTCTTTTCTAGAGCCAGGTAATTATTATGGAGATATTTTTAAAGTTCTAATGATGAAGAACAGGATGTGTGAACATAAAGAGCGTGTTCCAAAAATCAATATAAATAATATGATATTCTAAATACTATATTAAGTCATTAGTATTAGACATTTAATAGGGAATCAAGGATCAATAACATGATTTTTCCTCATAGTAAAGATGATGTCACATTTTTATATTATTTTGCAGGTAGGTGAACTAAACTCTGTTAATGGGGAAATAAAAATTGGGTTCATATTATGGATACAAATGGCATTTGATTAATATCTAGCATTTGTTTCCCGCTTCACTGCAGTTACATGTCACAGCTAGATAAAGCATACCTTTTTACTGAATGTGTAATTGTGATTTCTGTTTCATCTACTTTTAAAGATTTATGTAAAGGTTGCCTTGAGCAAGTTCCTAACTGTAGATTCAAGCTGTTAGTAAATAATTTTATAGTATTAATTAGCATTTCTTTATCTTTTGTCACAACTGAAGCATTAAAAAACAAAGTTAAGATGAATGCTGAAAGAAGCTTTTTTAATTGTATATTAGATTGTGTGTGTGTGTGTGTGTGTGTGTGTGTGTGTGTGTGTTTGTATGTGTTCACATGCCCAAACTGAAAGAAATTTTAAGGAGACTTTCTTTTTGATTCATAAATTGTGAAATGTGGTCGTTGAAGTTAACATACTTGAATATTTTGGCTTACTGTGTATATTATGCCTGTATACAATTATTTTTCATGTAAATATAGATTTAGTATTTTTTAACTAAAAGAAAATTATCCTTCAAAAGAATATCTACAGTTTAACCTTGAGGGGCAGCTTTTTGTAGTAGAAAGAGCATTATATTTGGAGTTAGAATGCTTGGGTTCAAATGTAAGTTCTGCCACTTGCTAGCAGTTCATGTGGCATTTTTTCCTTTCACTTAATTTGTCTGGGCTTCATTTTCCTCATGTGTAGAGTGATGGGGTTTGGGTTAGAAGATCGCGGGGGTTCTTCCAGATCTAAATCTATGACCAACATCTTAACAGAAAGGTCATTTTCAAACTTGTGCATGTATTTTTCAAGAAAGATCTTACAGTGATTTCTAGTCCTAAATTTATTGTTAAATAGTTGTGTGACGGGCAAATCCTCTTACCTTTTCTGTAATCTTCACCTGCTATCACATACATTACAATAATTTCAGCCCTATTTTATAGGAATTTTTTGAGGTGCAAATATATGTGAGCACTTTGAAAACTCATGAGTTTTCTTCCCTTCCTTGATGTTTACTTTTGTCAAAAATAGAAATAATTCAAGTCAAAATAACTTCTTCTTCTTCAAAGTGTCAGCTCCTTTCCAGCCTTTCTTTAGCATCTAGTACCACATTGAAAGTTCTGTCTCTCCCTCTTCCTTACTAATACCCTAGTCTTCTTTTCTTACATTTAACCAATTAAACTTTTTACAGTCTGGCTAGGCTTGTTTGTTTACTATTTTCTTTGTTCCTTTTTCTTATATCCATCTCCATATTCCCTGTGCTAGTATTGGATATACCCACATTCATCTTCCAAACTAAGCATCCTTCACTTCCCTTCTTAAATCTTCCTTTGCTTAAAGAACTTTCCATTTGTAATTCATTCACAGAAGCTTTCTTCCTAAGAGCATAGAGAACTGGTTCAAAGCTGAAAAGGTGGGTTTGAGGAAAGAGAAACCAATCTCTCTAATTTTATAATATCTTTTTCAGCTATATCTATTACCTTAAAAAAAATTGTATATTGCAATTCTCTTACTGGCCTGATTTCATTTGAAGTTAGCAAGGAACCATTTCACAGAGATGCTTTCAACTAATTAACTTTAATTTTTAAAGAAAACATGCACAGAACAGATAGCCAGGCAGAGAATTTGAGTGGTAACTTGTATTTTTAAATATGCATTTATGAAAAACATATCTGTGGAAACCTCTATTTTTAGATCTAATTTCTCTGATTACTGCATATTTTGTGTTTTTCAGAACTATTCTATGGCAGTATATCTTGTAAAACAGTTGTCCTCTACGGTTCTCCTTCAGAGGTTACGAGCAAAGGGAATAAGGAACCCAGATCATTCTAGAGCTTTAAGTATGTATTATGCAGTCTTTTTCATGAAGATAAAATATTTTAAACATGAATGTTAGAGTGCTATCATTTTCTTAACTAAAGGAATTTATGTTTGACATTATTAGATTGTTATCCTTCAGTTCTCAAAAGATTTATGATTTTAACAGTATGAGCGTTCATTTGGTACAGATTGCTGCCCCTCCTTAGCAGATGGTTGCATAAGTTACTATGACCAGCCTTCTGGTAATAAACCTCCTTGAAAATAGCTAGTTTGGTACTTAGGTAGCAGTATGTTACCAGGTCTACACTTGAAATATTTCCACTTTGGTGCAGGATCTGCCAGAACTTGTGTTGTGCTAGCATAGCTTTCAAGAACCTCTATACCATGAAGAGGAATCAGAATAGGGCTTTTACTGGAACATCTCTCTGTTGAGTACCTAAAACATTTATTCTACTTATCTTCTATCAGAAAATAAAACAAGGCACCCAAGAAGTTTTTTTTCCTTGTTTCATTTGTTTGCTTAACTTAAAATAGACATTATATTACATAGTTGGACCTTGAACACTAAAAAAGATGTTATTGCCAAAATGTACCATAAAATAGGTATTTTAAGAATACTAGGAAGGACAGACATGGCATAATGAATAGAGTGTTAGCCTCTGAAGCAGGGAGGTTAGGGTTCAAGGCCTGCCTCTGACATATACTGGCTTTGTGACCGCAAAGCAAGTTAGTCAATCTCTTGGTGCACTAGACAGCCATCTTTATTAAGACTATTAAGTTATGAAGGGTCAATCTGCATTGGTAGAGGAAATTCCTCCTTGGCAGTGCCCTATTCCAATGAAATCACAGTTCTCATCCAAAAATAAATAAATACTAGGAAGAATAAAGGAAGCTTGAGGTTCTTTTGAGTTGAAGGGATGCTCTGGAGGAAAGCATGTAATTAGGGGTATATGAAAGCAATCATGCAAGTAGTAAAAGAGAATATGTTTTAGCAACTAGGGTAAAATATATCACCATGTTAGAACCTGTGATTTCACTGTAAAATAATTGTAGAAATGTAATATTGAAAAATTCTGAAAATGAGAAACATCCCTTTCAAAATGGAAAGAATTAAACAGAATAACAGATAAGAGTAGCAAAAAAGTATGATTCTTAGATCTAAATTGTTTTTATAAAAGATCATGTAGAACAGAGGTTCTTAACATATGTTTGTGTCGCAGATCCATTTGGCAATTTGACGAAGCTTATGGACTCCTACTTAGAGTAATGTTTTTAAATACTTTATAAAATAATAGTGGATTACAAAGAAAACCAATTATATTAAATAGGGTTATTAAAATATGAAAAGGTCCAAGTTAATAGAGCATTACTGTGAACTAAGCACTATTTAAGGTAGAATAATGAGTCCATGGATTGATGAATAATATTTGGACTAGGTGACTTCTAAGGGTTTTTCCAACTTTTAAAATTTGATCATGAGTCCTCCTTTATCCAAAGAGTAGCAAAAACAAAAAATTGTTATTCATCTAGGGAATATAGGTAACTTCTTACAGACTTAGGTAATAATAATTTTCATAGGTTTGGTTGTTTTATTGATTTGAGCAGAATAAAAATGTGTTAACTCCTGAAGACTAAAACTATGTCTTAGTCTATTGAGTGGAAAAGGAACCCTTTTTAATTTTTGATTCAATAAAGTATTTGATTGGAAAAATACTTTGACAACTAGGATAATTTCTCTGTAAATGTAAGTAGATACTATCTTTGGAAAGTTGAACCTAAATTTTAAACTTAAATGAAAATTTTTAATGCATATTGTCTTGTGCATGTGGTTTGAAAAAAAAAATAAGATAAATTTTGAAAAAAACAAAAACGAAATTTTATAGCCTTGACCAGATCACTGCCTTATTCATAAAATTTCTGTGGCTTTTCATTGCCTACAAGTATAAATAAACTCCTTAGCTTAGCATTCAAGGCATTCCCTATTTCCCTTCTCCAACCTACTTTCCCAACTTTATTTCGTACTGTTTCTTTTTATGCATTCTGTGGTCAAGCCAGACTACACTACTAGCTACTTCTTACTATCATCCTGCCCTCTCTGCCCTCCATACATTTATATAGGCTAGCTCCTTTCTCCACACATCCCTTCCTAAAATGGGTTTCCCCCATTTTATTTTCCCATTGAAATTTTTCTCCTTCTTAGGTGTCAGTTTTAGGTGGCTCTGTGAAACTTTTCCTGCTTTCTTCTCTCTTTTCCCCCAAATAGAAATGATGCCTCCCTACCCAAACCTTCTGTGGTTTCTTTTTTAATTTTCACTATGCTCTTAACATATTCTAATTCATATTATAGTTGTATGTGTGCCTTATTCCAAACAAATATAAATAAGCACAAAATTTGTTTTACCTTTGTATCCACAGATTGATGTTCTATACACAGGTGCTTAATAAATGTTTATCAGATTGCACTATAAATGTATCAGAAACATTTAAGCGCTCACATGAATGAAGAGCTTAATGAAAAAAATTCTTCAAGGAAGTTTCTTGATTTAACTTGCTGCTTTGAGTTTGAGGTGGTGGTAATAATACCTATTAATTGAGCTGTTGGATCACTTAGCTGCAGTGTTTAAAGGAACTGCCAGGCAAGGGGCTAGCAGCAAGCAGTGATGCTATGCTAAGTCTACCTATATTCTCACCATGAAAAGAGGAGGTAGGGGAATAGTAAGGAAATGATGGGAGAGAGTAGTAAAGCACATTGTAAACTTTACAGAGCACTCACTATATGAGTATCAGTTGTTAGTTCATTGTTTAGAGGAAGGTGGTAGAATTTTGGGGGATAGAAATATAAATGGTGATCACCCACAAGTTACCCCACCAAGAACTCAGTTTGACAACTACTGGCAAAAACATTGTGGAAAACAGAGTTTAATAAGCTGGTGGTCGTTTAGTAGGAGAAATGAAGGCAACAGAGCAGGCTTTCCCTCCATCTCCTTAGAGAACACATCTTTAAACATAATCTGAGAATTTCATCCAGTTATGCTGGAATAGATTACCCTATTGCATTGAGGGAGTATTCATTTTCAGGAATCATCCTCTTAAGATGTAATTTTGTTGAAAGTCTATCTAATATGGACACTTGAACTTGTTTTTAGCTAACACCTTAATTTTTTAGTTAACAACTTACCAGGAACTAATTGACAGACAGCCAAAGACAAGAGTCAGAAATAAGATAGGCCCGGGTAGAGGGAAAGAGAAAGTGTCAGATCCAGAAAAGAATCTCAGGGCCATGATAGAGGGTGCCGAGGAGGGCCACCAAAGACAAATCTTGCCTACTATACAACTTTGTCTAGAGATGACCCTGATTGTGCTACTTGAAATCAGCATAGATAGCCACTTTTGCCATTCTCTGATGCAGAAAATCAGTGTTATAATTAAGTGAACTCAAGTAGCAAAATGAGTATCAAAAATAGAAAACTGCCTGTGTATAACAGCACTTTATTTTCACTCAACAAGCATTTATTAGTGCCTACTATATGCAAAACCCTGAGCCAGGTGCTGAGAATACAGAAATAAAAATGAGATAGACCCTGCTCTCAAAGAGCCTTCATTCTATGGGGTAGGGGTACATGTGCAGGGGTAAGTAAGTACAAAATATAATCCAAGGCAATCTCAAGGAATCCTATCAGGATTGTCTTGTAGAAGGCGACACTTGGGGCAACTAGGTGCCATAGTTGATAGAGCTACTGGCCCTGGAGGCAGGAGGACCTGAGTTCAAATCTGGCTGCAGACACTCGATCCTTACTAGCTGTGTGACCCTGGGCAAGTCACTTAACCTCAATTGCCTCACCCCCCCCCCCCAAAAAAGGCAGCCTTTGAGCTGAGCCTTGGAAGAGAGCTAGAGCTAGAAACTCAAGAAGTTGAGATGAGGAAGGGAGAGCATTCCAGGCATTGTGAAGAAGATAAGCATTTATATAGTTCTACCTCTGTGCCAGGTACTATGCTAAGCATTTTTACAAATATTATCTCATAGAGGACAGCCTATTCAAAGGCAAAACTGAGTGATGAAATATAGTTAGTAAGTCATTTTGGCTGGAATGTAGAATGCATGAGGGGAAGTAATAGACTGGACATAGATTATTAAGAGCTTTAAATGCCAAACAAACAGGTTCATATTTTATCCTACAATAGGGGTTCTTAATCTTTTTTGTGTCTGAAGCCTGTGAACCTTCTCAGAAAAATGTTTTTACATGCATAAAATAAAATATATCCAATTAACAGTTATCAAAATATCTTTAAAAAAACGAATTCCTGGATCCTAGGTAAGACCCTATCTCCCAGAAGCATTAGGAAGCTACCAAATTTCCTTGAGCAAGAGAATGATGCGGTCAGACCTGTGCTTCAGGATCATTTTGACAGCTATGTGGACAATGTGTTAGAGACTTAAGGCAAGGAAATTGGTTAGGAACCTATTACAGTAATCCAAGTGAGAAGTGATAGCCTAAACAAGGGTCATGGCCATGTGAGGGGAGAGAATAAGGTGCTAGAGATATTGTGGAGATAGAATCAGTAAGATGTGAGAGGTGACAGAGCGAGAACTGAAGAATGATTGAGATTGAGAACCTAGGGGACTAGGAGAATGGTGGTACCCTTGACAGATAGAGGTAATTTACGATGAGAAGTGTATTGGGGGGGGGTGAATTTTGTTTTAGATTCTTATGGAACATTCAGGTAGAGATGTCCAATGAGCGGTTGTGAGACTGGAGTTCAGGAGAGATGAGGGTTAGATATATAGATTTGGGAGCTTTCTGTGTATGTGATCATTGAACACATAGGAAATGATGAGATCATTACAAGAAGAGATCAGAGAAGAGGCTTGGAGAACCACCTATACTTTGGGGACCTATGCAAGTCAGCAAAGGAGACTGAGAAGGAGCAGTCAAGCAGACAAAACCAGCAGAGAAAGAGTTTCCCATGGAAGGAGAGTTTCCAGTATGGAAGCGGTGATCAACAGTGTCAAATGCTTCAG